TGATCATCTCTGAACAATACCAAAATAGAAGAATTTTAAGGGGATTTCTTTTTTTTTTTTTTTTTTTTCTTTTTCCTCCTCAATACTAGGGATTGAATCCAGGGTCTTATACATGTTAGGCAAGCGCTCTACCACTGAGCTCCATCTTCAGTTCTTAGGAAGATCAGATCTGTTTAACTGAGGTGGATGAGTTACGCCTCAAGAGCCGTTCTCAGATTACCTTTCTAGTGTTCTTGCTTTGAGAGTAATGAGGATTTAGCCTCTGTTGTTGTGGACCTGGGTAGCAGGAAGTTTTCACTTATGACAGTGCAGTTCTTGGTGCTTACCAGGCAGCCCCTCTTCATCCCTGGATAAGCAACCCTCTTTTGAGGTTGGGAAGCTTGGTGTTAGACTGTCAACACCAGCTCGCCAAGATTGCTGGATTCTCAAGCTGCTGTCTTCCAAGATTCTATCCAATTAGACTTGTGGAATTCAGCTTTTACATTCTTCCGCTTTTCGAGAGGCATCTCTTTGTGGATTGGCTTTTTTTTTTTTTTTTAATGAGATATTATATAAAAAGTCGTTTTATTTTGAAGCCCATAATAGTTCCTGGCACTTAAGTGGGTATCAGCATCGTATCTCCAAAAAGTTTATTGAAAGAAATATTCAGAGACTTTCATTAAATGTTACAATGTTATAACATTTCATTAAATGTTACAAACTATAATCATATATACATTTAATTACATTAAATGTTATCAACTATAATCATATAATATACAAGAAATGTATGTTACAGTTAAAATTTCTGTATCCACTGACATTTTTCTTAGACTTAGTTTTTTGACATCTGAACTAATATCAACTGTCATCTTTTTCTTTTTTTTGTTTTTGGGGTTTTTTTGAGACAGGATCTCACTACGTAGTTCAGGCTGGCCTTAAACTCACTGTGCAGGCCAGGCAGGCTTTGAACTTGTGATTCCCCTGCCTCAGCCTCTCCAGTGCTGAGATTATAGGCGTGTGCCCTGCTGGGCTGTGTTATCCCATTTGCACAGTTCTCAGGTCAGTGAATTGGGAAAATCTTAACTATTGAAAAAAGCTGGGCATTTTTCTAGAGATTGTACTTTTGGATCATGGAAAGGATGTATGACTTAGTTTCTTATGACTTCTACCTGTATATGTAAATTTTTACTAATCTCGTAGCTGATTTTGCCACATTGGGTGTCTGTGGGCTTTCTTTCCTTTCATGTCTCCTGTGTGTTGGCCACATGTTCCTTCCCGTGACTTCAGAAGGAACTGCTTGCTGCTGCTTTCATGTGGCACGTCCCCCAGTACTGCCCTGTTTTGGAAGTTAAGCAGAGATACTCAGCGTTTCTCTAGTGTACACATTTCTTTTATGTGTTTGACTTCAGTAGCTATTTGGTGATAAAAAATGTGTAGTTGATTTGACTTAGTGAAGCTGGCTCTATGTCAGTCTTGTTCTAGAATCTAAGTATCCTTCTGGATATCTGTTTTACTCAGTCCATTCTCTGATACTGAAGATGAGCCTGACAGCACCTTTGGAGACAAGTGGCTTATATGGCTCAGCAGAGCCAGTGCTTTGACCTGATAGTACATGTGCCTTTCTGGCCACTTCTTCGCCCCTGGCTTGTATGTTGGGCTGCAAACTGGCTGCTGGAAATGCACTGAGAAATTATTTAATAGTAATTGGTCTCGTCAGTAACATGCAAATGGGTATCTCTTTTCTAGAGTTCATTCCTTGTATGGACAAGCTGTTTGATGAATCCATACTAATCGGCTCAGGATATACTGCTCGGGAGACTCTCAGGTATGAGTTTAGATCCTGCTACCTGGTTGGTTAAATACCAGCAACAGTGATCATGGCACTTAATGTTATGAGGCTCTTGGGCCTTGACTCACTCATTGGATTTAGAATAGTAAGAAGTTTTGGTTACTTTATGTACCTTCACTTCAAGAAATCAGAATAGTTGATATAAATTGCAGGTAGAAATTTTGGATTTTTTTCTTTTTATATAATGCACATTATTGTTAAAAAGACTAACAATCTACCAGTGTAAAAGAAGGAAACGAGCTAGGTGTGGTAGGCCTGTAATCCTAGCACTTGGGAAGCTGAGGCAGGAGGATTGTGAGTTTAAGACCAGCTTAAGCTTCATAACAAGTTCAGGGTCGGCCTGGACTGCATAGTGAAACCTTGTTTCAGAAATCCTCAAAAAGGGAGAATGTCTTTCAGTCCTGTGCAGCTGTGTTGGTATTTTGGTTTAATTTCTTCTAGTGTTTATTTCTAATGCTTTCAAAATTATATTTTTTAACTGTCATAGATAAAAACATAAAAATTATACATATTTATGGCATACCATGTGTTATTTTAAAACATGTAAACATCCTCTTACACTTATAAAATACAAGGTTGTAATTATTATGTTTTTTTTCTTTTTCTTTCTTAGAGTAGTTCAGTGGCTTTGTAGTCCAGGCTAGCCCCGACCTCACGTTAATCCTCCTGCCTCAGCTTCCCAGGTGCTAGGATTACAGGCATGTACCACTATGCCCGGCGTTGTTACTATTTCTAAAGGTGGAAATAATCATCTTTACAATGTAAAATGAATGTTAGTCATTTTTTTGTTTTGTTTTGTTTTCCTTTGAGTAAGGTAGGATGAATCTTAGAAAAATGTGTAGGATGCTTTGAATATGCTAGAGACTGCTCATTGATTTTCTATGTTGTTTTAAAATATTAAGATACTGTTTATAAGTTGACGTTGAACCTGCCTAGACTGAGACATGAGATTGTTACTCCTGCGTGAAGCCCTCTGTTTGCTTTCTGTCCTTAGACAAAACCCAAAGTCTTGACCATACCACACCTAATCCTGCAAGACTCAGCTGTGCCCACTTGTCCTAAAATTCTTGTAGGGTTGTACCTTCCTGACCTGCTTTGGCCATGTAGCTTCTTGGCTATGTCAGGCAGTTTCTGTCTCAAGGCTTTGGTCTTACCTGTTTCTTCCATCTGGAAATTTCCCTGGTTTTTTACCTTCTGGCCCCTTTTTGTCCTTAAGTTCTCAGCTTCAGTGTCACATGAAAGGCAGCCTCCTGACCCTGTGTCTTAAGAATTGTTTCCCCATTGGTTCTTCTCATCATGCCCCCTTTTAAATCTCCTCCGGCACTCACCAGCCTGTGTAATTCATTTCTCCCTGGTGTTTGTCTTCTGTAATTAAGCTCCACGAGGGCAGGGACTCTGTTTACTGGTGTCCCGTGGTATCTCTAGTACCCAGTATCTGGCATGTGGTAGATGTCCACATGTCTGGTGAGTGAAGAACTAATAGCCTGAATGTTATTCCTGTAGCTCCATAAAATGGTCATGTTATATAAGATATTGATACATGCTATTTATTTTTGAGCAACAAAACCCACTCAGTGCATGGTCAAGCTGGTAATGTTTTCTTTTCAGGTTAGCCATATGATGTGCCACTGTCTTTTAGGAGCTTCATGACGTGCACAAAAGTTTATCTGTTAAATCTTTTAACTTGGAAAGTGAAGATTAAATCAAGACAAGACTCTAACCTTTTAGTTGTGCAACCGTGAGGGAATAACATGGATGTTGGGGATCTGGGGCCATAGCAGACGTGCTCCACCTAGTGGTGGCATTGTGGGACAAATAGTGATCCATGTGGTGGCCATGAAGGGATAAGCACCAGTGGGTTTCTCTGCCCGCAGGCCCCTTGCCTACAGTACACTGGCTGATCTCGTGCACCATGTTCGCCAGCACTTGCCCCTCAGTGACCTGTCGCTTGCTGTCCAGCTGTTTGCCAAGAACATTGATGATGAGTCACTGCCCAGCAGCATCCAGACCATGTCCTGCAAGCTTCTGCTGAACTTGGTGGACTGCATCCGCTCCAAGAGCGAGCAGGAGAGCGGCAATGGGAGGGATGTCCTGATGCGGATGCTGGAGGTACTGGATACGTGGAGCAGCTGGCCTGTGCTCTTTATCTTGCTTGTTGTTAAACTTAGGAGTGTCTTACTGGCAAGTTTATGAGGTGGCCCGGTTGCCCAGCGTGGGTGCAGGAGTTGGGCTGTCTAGGTTCAAATCCCAGCTTGCTCTTGCACTAGCCAGCTGTGCTTGGGCAGGTTGCTTTTCTCTGTATCTGTTTCTTCATCTTATTGGTGCTAATCGTAGCATATGCCTCACAGGGTTGCTGTGAGAGTGAAATAAAGCTGTGTGTGAGAGTTCTTCCTGTACTTCTGGAAGAGTTCTGGGGGCACAGCAGCCACACAGTAGCTCAGCAGGGGCATTTCTGTGGCGACCCCAAGGATGCTCAATAGAGGGATAATGGTTGGTTCCCAAGGCCAGGGGGCAGTGGTGTGGCCCTGGAGGGATGATGAGTCTGGCAGACCTGGGTCACATCCGGTCCCTTCTTGTCAGATCAGTCACTCATTTCTGAGCCAGACTCTCTCCATCGAAAATGAGAGAGAGGAAAATCCTGGCACAATTTTTCACGTAACAGCCAACATAGGAAGTGCTCAGAAATTAACCAGGGAGAAGAGAATGACTTTAGCAAGTGGTTTTCATGACATCTTTTTGTGCTGTCATCTGGAAGGATTGTTTGGCCTATTCATGACCTTTGTCTTCTCCCTGACTTTTCTTCCCATTAGGTTTTTGTTCTCAAATTCCACACCATTGCTCGGTATCAGCTCTCTGCCATTTTTAAGAAGTGCAAGCCTCAGTCTGAGCTCGGAGCAGTGGAAGCAGCTCTACCTGGGGTGCCCACTGCCCCTGCTGCCCCTGGTCCTGCACCATCTCCGGCCCCTGTTCCTGCCCCTGCTCCTCCCCCACCCCCACCCCCTACGCCGGCCACTCCTGTGACTCCAGCCCCTGTGCCTCCTTTTGAGAAGCAAGGAGAAAAGGATAAGGAGGACAAGCAGACATTCCAGGTCACAGATTGCCGAAGTTTGGTAAAAACCTTGGTCTGTGGTGTCAAGACAATCACATGGGGCATAACATCCTGTAAAGCACCTGGTGGTAATTCTGCTCTTAATTTAAGAACTGAGATTTTAGTAAGAGTGGGTTTTAGTCATGTTAACTTATATGCTGTGTCTTTTTTCCAGAAGCTCAGTTCATTCCCAACAAACAGTTACAACCCAAAGAGACTCAGATTTATATAAAACTTGTGAAGTATGCAATGCAGGCCTTGGATATTTACCAGGTAGGGAAGTGCTGTGGAACTAGGCTTTTGAGTGTGGAAGATGGCTTTTAGAGTTAGAGGTACAAGTGGGGAATGGATCTTGAGGTCTGCGACTAGATGGTTTAAGATAGTTGTACATTCGGGTTTACTTTTGTTATGCAACTTAGCATTGAAGTCTTGGTGCTAATTCTTTTGAGTGCACGTGTGTATTTTGTGGAGAGGTGGTGCAAATGGAATGCAATAGAAACATAGGAGTTAGCTTTATTTACTGTTCCTTTCGTATTTTCAACACAAAATCTTCTGTTTTTTCTTCTTCAAATTCAATGTTAGTAAGGAGATTTTAAGGAGAGAGCATTTATTATCTAATTCAGGCAGTGTCTTTAAAGTCCGTATCTGATGTGATTTTGTAATGGAATGTATTCAGGGGTCAGTTGCCATACTTGCTGGTGATTCTCTCCTGTGCTAGGTCCAGATAGCAGGAAATGGACAAACATATATTCGAGTAGCGAACTGCCAGACTGTTAGAATGAAGGAGGAGAAGGAGGTATTGGAACACTTTGCTGGTGTTTTCACCATGATGAATCCCTTAACATTTAAGGAAATCTTCCAAACTACAGTCCCTTATATGGTGGAAAGAATCTCAAAAAATTATGCTCTTCAGGTATAAAACTCCTTTCTTACATTCTTTAGGTATATTCATTTTAAAATTTTTTGCTGATATGTTGAACACTGTATTTATTGATTTTGAAAATTTTAAAAATAATGTGACTTAAGGTTATGCCTTTACAGCCAAGATTCCATAATATTTGAAAAAAAGTTTTCAGAACTTTCAGATGCATTGGGCCAGTTCCTTTGATTCATAAAAATTAAATATATGCTAAATGCAAGCTTTTGGTATTTGATGGGGAAAGTGAAACAGATGAGGTGCTGGAAATGAACTGGTGGCTGAAGCCTCAGCAAGGGGTTTCGTGTGTTTGCTTTTGGTGGATAATAAATTTCTTGGCAGGTCTAATACAGGTTTGATTTTCTTTTTTTGGAAAGTTTATTTTCTCTGAAAGCTGCCTTAGAGAAGCTGCCTTACATTTATCCTGTGCATTTCTTGTTTTGACAGATCGTTGCCAATTCCTTCTTGGCAAATCCTACTACCTCTGCTCTGTTTGCTACCATCCTGGTGGAATATCTCCTGGATCGCCTGCCAGAAATGGGCTCCAATGTGGAGCTCTCCAACCTGTACCTCAAGCTGTTTAAGTTGGTCTTTGGTTCAGTCTCTCTCTTTGCAGCTGAAAATGAGCAGATGCTAAAGGTAACACTGTTTGAGATCTAAATAGCATTTGTGTTCGGGGTCTTTTTTGTTCCCCTTTTTTTTTTCTTTAATATTTTCAGTTTTGAACAGAAACTAGTGATTATATGTATAAAGTGCTGTTTGCATTAAAGATTTGCAGCAACCGAGGACCACATGTAAGAAATGGTCCAAGTTTCTGAGCAAGCTCAATTTGTTTATCTCACCAGATAATGTGAGAAATTTTGAACTCTTAACTAAGTGTGCCATTAGTTTTGCCATCCTTTTATAAACTTGAGCTTCTATTTTTGGATTGTATGTGTGTTGCAAAGTAATACAGGAACAAAAAATACCTTTGTGAAGCTCTCTAACGAGAGAGTTTACTGGAACAGTTCTTACCACATCAGTAACCTACCACCTTAATCAAGTTTTGTTTCTTCAGTTCTCCCTGCGACTTACAAACAGCATGTCCCAGGGCTATTTGTCCACCATTTAAATAAAAAACTGTTACGGGTTTGTCTTCCTTGCCTAAGGTCATATTAGAGATTTGTCTCCTCACATGTTTTTATATGTGACTAACCCTAATCAGATTTTATTCTTGGAAATGTAAAAGCGATCCGTAGTGACATCATCACCCACTAAAAGCAGAAGGCAGAACAAAAACCTTTTGTGCTTATGACAAAATATTTTTGTTCTTATAGAAAGTTGACTATTCTTACCAGTTGTATGAGCAGAGGAATGTTTTCCATAGGGGAAGTTTTGAAGATGTAAGCACATAAATGGCGGGTGTTGTGAAGTACAGTCATCTGGTTTTAGATGATAGTTTCCTTGTTTTAATTTACTCTGTGGTACTGGAGATTGAATCTATGACCTTTGCAATGAGTTCTGTCCTTAACCCTTTTGGTTTTATTTAGAGACAGGGTCTTGCTAAATTGCTAGTTACTTTCTATCATCCTACCTCAGCCTTCTAGACTGCCAGAATTATAGGCATGTGTTGGCCACCACAAGCAGCCAGTTTCTTTTGTGTTTTTCCATTTTATAGTAATTATCAACATTCTTAGTGTTACTGTTGTGTAAATATATAAGGAACTCAATTTGTTATCAAAATATAAAATACTTAATTGTAATCTACTTCTAATTCACTGTATGTAAGTGTTCCAATTTTTGCCATTATTAAAAACAACTGTGTAGACCAACAACCAAAAAATCAGAGTCAAAGCCAATAGGACAAAGCTAGTATTGGAGTATTGTTTAAGAAAAATATTCGAGGAACAAAACTGATAAAACTTTGTCAAGGGAATAGTTGGTTTGTACTGTGAATATACCATGTTATATGTAGTAAGTTTGAAACTATATCAGTGACATTTACGTTCACTGAAATACAGAAATTTCATGTTAAATTTTGCATGTGACATGTCAAGATTAGAAACAGAAAATAAGCTAATCTGGCTTAAAATACTTATTACAGTTATAAAAGCTAATAAAATACTGATGATCATGTGAACACATTTTAAAATTTAGTCTTCTGAAATCCTGTGTGTGTTGAGACTCACATTTTGTGTGTGTCCTATTTGATTGGTAGGGACATTTAGGTTTTTTAGGTTACTTTTGTGTTTAGAGTATTGCAGGAAGCAGGCTTCTTTCATCTGTGTGACTATGGAGGTCTGTAAAAGAGGTGACTACATTCACAAGAAGTGCAAAGTGGGCAGACCCTCAGGTTTCTGCTGCAAGTGTCATCTGTCCAACATCATTTAACTACAGTCTGCTAATCAGCCTTTTTTCCACCATAGCCTCATCTACACAAGATTGTGAACAGCTCCATGGAGCTTGCACAGACTGCCAAGGAACCCTACAACTACTTCCTGCTGCTCCGAGCCCTGTTCCGTTCTATTGGTGGAGGTAGCCATGATCTCTTATATCAGGAATTCTTGCCTCTCCTTCCTAACCTCCTCCAAGGTTAGAACAGTGGCTTTGGTTGCTAGTTGGATTTATGTGTGTGTATGCGTTTTGCTGCCTGGATTGTTGCTGTTCTCTGTGTACTGTTGCGGGTCATGGTTGTGATGAGTCAGGTGGGGCATGTCTGTAAGCCTCCCTTCTCTTTGAAGGAAGTGGGGCTTAGAAGGGAGCCCTATTAGGGACGGGCTGTGTCCTTCCTAATGAGAGTCAGGTGGGATTTGGAAGATTTTAGTTACCAGGGTATGACTTGGTTGCATTTTTGTAGCATTTGGCAAGAAGGTCTAGAAAGAATGTTTCTAGAAGGAAAAGACAAGCTATAAAGCTCATTTATAGTTAGTTTATATTTTTTTAGTTTCTAATTTGCGTAACTAGAACCCTAGAATTTTGTGATTAGGAATGTTTTCAGCATACATAGTTAAAAGGGACCTGAGTACATTGTATGTTTATGGAGAATGAACGGAGTAGAAGCACTGTCCTAGGGATTTTTAATTCTTCCTTATAGGTGAGCTCTTGGGTAGGACTGAAGTTTTTTCTCATATTTTCTTTACAAATTCCTTAAAAAGAAGCCATTTACAATTTAGTATCCCTAAAGGCAACTGGGACATATGTGAATATGTAGAATAAAAATGGCCATTAATCTTGCACAGATGATGCCTCAGGTGGGCCATAATTAGGCCCCTTGTCCATCTTTAGCCCCACCTCCAGTTGTTCTCTTCTCTGGCCTTTGTTCTCAGCCTGGTTTCTTCTTCCTGGAGCACTCTTTCCTCTGCCATCTCTGAGCTGCTCTCCTCCTAGTGTGTTAAAGCCACTGCTCTACTGGCATCTTACTGTGTGCTCATCACTGTCTCCTCTGGGCTCTGAACTTGTTCTGTGTCTCTGCAAACTCGACTCGTCTTCTGGCCCCACCAGTGCTGCACAGAATGCCCCTAGAGTTGGGTCCACTGTGAAATGCCTTTCTCTTGGTCTTTGGAGGGTCTCAGAAAGGACCTTAGTAAATAGTTGATAATGCTCACGAAGGGTGGGAGATAGATTTTGTAGGAGGGAGTCTTCTCTACATTTATAGTGAACAAAACTAGATTTAAGTGAAGTACTCATTTTACACCAAATGATGAGCACACATCATACTGGAGTCTGTGTGTTTAAGTTGGACTTATTAATAGTGCTTATTAACTTTTTTTTAGAAACTGGCTTATTTAACATGTTTTTTTAGAAACTACATTATAAAACTGCATGGCTTTTGATGTACTGCATTATAAAATCGTAATGTATAATAATTATATACACCTATACACCTTGCTGTTGGCACTGCAAAAGGGCTCGTGAATTTTTTTTTGTTGTCTTTTTGAGACAGGGTCTCATTATGCAGTTCAGGCTGACCTTGAGCTCACTTTGTAGCCCAGGCTGGCCTCGAACTCGCAACAATCTTCCTGCCTCAGCCTCCCGAGTGCTGGGATTACAGGTGTGCGCCACCACGCCTGGTGGGCTCGTGAATGTTAACTGCAGATTATAGAGCAGATTTAGCTAATAGATTGTACAGCACAAAAAGTCTTGATGTTTATAGTGAAAAGTGGACCAGTAAATGTTTAGCTGCTGTGCTACATGTCTGGGAAATGCTGTTCTTCTCTAACTGTATGAAACTCTGTTCTCAGGCCTGAACATGTTGCAGAGCGGCCTGCACAAGCAGCACATGAAGGACCTCTTTGTGGAGCTGTGTCTCACGGTGCCTGTGCGGCTGAGCTCCCTCTTGCCCTATCTACCCATGTTAATGGATCCCTTGGTGTCTGCCCTCAATGGGTCTCAGACTTTGGTCAGCCAGGGCTTGAGGACCTTGGAGTTATGCGTGGACAACCTGCAGCCTGATTTCCTCTATGACCATATCCAGCCTGTGCGTGCAGAGCTCATGCAGGTAGGTCTGCCTTCACCTTGGCACCAGCAGGCGTGCAGGGCCCCACAGGTCTAGTCTGTAGGAGGATTCAGCCATCACTGGGCTCTCTACTCAGACAGGCTTTCTGAAAATTGGAGTGCTGTGGCTCCATACTTGCTTCTGATGTACTAAAAGATATGTAGAGCGCTGTAGGTGTTGAATGGATACTTGTTTTTCAGGGTTGCCTTTTTCTGAGAGCTTTCACAAGTGTTATATTGTCATTAAGATGATGAGCTCTGAAGGCCAGGGTTGTGGGTGCTGCATCACTGTGGTGCTCCCAGCAGGAACCTCTGTCCACACAGACCTTCAGTTCCATAGGGAAGGGATACAGACTCTTAACGGGACGGTTTGGGTGTCCACCCTTTCCCACCCTAAGGGAAAAAGAACGCCACGAGAGAGCTTGTCTTAAAGATGTTTATGTTTTGTATTCATTAAAGCTCGTATTAAATATGTTTTGCTGCTGTTAGGATTTGTGATGTCTTTGGTAACCAAGGATTGGACTATCTGCTGTTTACTTCTGTGCTCCTATAGCATAGAGCATTTGAGCCTAGCTGGGATCATGGTACTAGCCTTACCTGTAGAGGTTCAGTAATTCCCAAGGACAGCGGGCTTTGGATGCACTGGATTGGAGTCTGCCCCTTGGACTTGAGATTAAGATTGGGAGACTCCTTGCCTGCCTGTCCTGGGATTTAGATCTCAGGTTCCATGTAGACTGGAGAAGATGGCATAAGGGTTGGGCTGGAGTCCTGAGGGCTACTTTTCCTCTTGTCACTCAGGATTGAGTAGGAGCCTGCTTTGAAAGCAGGAGTGTTGGTTCTAGATGGCCAAGTTTGTCCTGACTCAAGTACAGATGTGTGAGCAGAATATGAGGAGAGGAGGCAGAGGGTATGTACTGGTACCTAAGAAGGACAAGGTCAATGCTACTTCCTGCCACACATGAGGCAGATAATCCTGCAGAAGGGTGGGATCTACTCGTTTTCTGAGGCACTGCACCCTCCCCCGTGGACAGCTGGCATGGTGTTGGTCTTTCCTCACCCCCTTTTTTTTTTTTTTTTTTTTTTTTTTTTTTTTTTCCGGTACCGGGAACCGAACTCACGACCTTGCGTTTGCCAGGCAGGCGCTTTTGCCGCTGAGCTAAATCCCCAGCCCCTTTCCTCACCCCTTCTACCCGCTCAGGAGGTGGGAAGCACCTTTCCCCATCCTTGCCTTTGTGTAGGGAAATGTAGCAATTTTATGTTGACTGTTGCTAGGCTCTAGCATTTGTTGTTGTTACAGAAAGTGATTTAAGGAAATAGACTTACAGCGTGAACTGTAGTCATTTTTAGGACTTACATAATGCAGGTGAAAAGAACATGGGAGATTTCCTGAGTTTTTGGTACGGTTAAGTGCGTTTGTTCTTTTAAGTGCAGGGTGAAACTGAACTAGTCTCTGCAGTTCTGTGATTCAGATGCCTTACCCTGAAACCCCAGAATGGGAGCACCAGTGAGTTTCTCCTCTGCCTATCCTACCCACTTTATACCTGGTTATATGTTGCTTTTGAGTATTGCCATGTACATTGTGCTACCATGTGTATGCAGCTGCATGAAAGCACACTGGCAGTTGTATTTTTTGTAAAGGTTGAAACTCCTCAGGGAAGGACATCAATGACTGATAATATCATTTTGCTGCAAAAACAGCCAGGTTTTGGGTACAGAGGTGGGAGGAAAAACTTTTCACCATATAATGTTTCATGAGGTGAAATTCTGAGTCCTGAGCCATGTGAACCAATTACTTGAAAGAGCTTCACAAAAGCATTTTGTTTTCAGGCTTTGTGGCGCACTTTACGAAATCCCGCGGATAGCATCTCTCATGTGGCCTACCGCGTACTTGGCAAATTTGGTGGCAGTAACAGGAAGATGTTAAAAGAATCCCAGAAGCTGCACTATGTTGTGACTGAAGTTCAAGGCCCCAGCATTACTGTGGAATTCTCGGATTGCAAAGCATCTCTTCAGCTCCCAATGGAGAAGGTAAAGTGGGAAGTCTTTTGGGAGCTTTGTAAAGCTGCTGTATTTTCTTCTTAAGAAACTTAATTTCTCTTTAAAATAGGTAAATAAGACTTGTTTTGGAGGGGAAGGAGTTCCCAACTTAAAACAAAATTTTATGTGATGACCTCCTTCGTTGTGAGGGCAGGAGAGGACTCTTGCCCTTGGAACTTGGGAACCTTGAATAGTTTTCTGTCTTTCTAGATGAACATCCTTGAATTCTTGATCTGTTGCCTCCACCCATCAGATTTTAGTGGTACATTTTGGATGTACATAGTGATCTCATTCATCAAAAAGAATTTGTACCTGTGCATGGTATCACTTGTTTTTCTCCTCCTTTCCTTCCAGCCCTTCTTCCCCTCCCCAATTACAAAAGCTTTGTTTCTAGTTTTTCCTTCTTTTCTCTCTCTTTTTTTTACTTATCCCTTCTTTCCTTTTCCCCTCCCCCTCCTTGTTCCCCTCCACGTTTCTTGGTCTGTTTTGATCCCCATGGGCTTTATGTCAAGTACCAGTAAGAAGCCAAGTTGATTCTGCACTTGTCTGTGAACATTATCTTTCCAGTACCTGGTTTTCTCCCGTTCTCTATCCAAACATAGCTCATGCTGTCTCTGTCCTGGTTCTTACATGTATGTAGTTACCACTAGTGTTAATGTATTAGCTGTTAAAGGCTTCACTGTTTTTTTGGGTTTTTTTGGTGATTGTGCCTTCCTTGGCTCCCTGGACAACCTAATTGATAGGAATTAGGATACAGATGTGTGTGTCTTTACATAGCTGTGTAGTTTTTTTGAAGAAAAGATGCAAACTTTTTATTCCTCTAAGAAAAAAAGAAAATTTAGTAAAAATTTAAGAAAGCTTTTAGGTTTGAACTTAAACAGGAAAGTCTGTGGATTTTCATATAGACCCTGCAAGTGTGTAGGTGACACAGACTGTAATTTAATGCAGCACATCTCATTTACCACAAGAAGCCTGAGCACACACCTGGGCCCAGTGGTGCACACCGGTAATCTCAGCTCTCGGGAGGCTGAAGCAGGAGGATCGTTGCGAGTTCGAGACCAGCCTGGGCTACAAAGTGAACTCAAGGCAGCCTGAGCTGCATATCAAGACTCTGTCTCAAAAAAAAAAAAAAAAAGCCTGAACACATTTCTGTGATGTTCCCGTTGGCTATTAAAACATGAAGTTATTAAACAGCCTTTTATTTTCATTTGGTGAACACTTACTGGGATATCAGCCAACTGCAAAAGAAAACAAACACGAAGATTCTTTTGGGAGCTGCCAGTGCTTTGAGCGAAAGCTTTTCAGAATCCTATAATTTCAGTTCAAATTTCTGTGCTTTTTTGTTGCAGGCCATTGAAACTGCTCTGGACTGCCTGAAAAGTGCCAACACAGAGCCCTACTACCGGAGGCAGGCATGGGAGGTGATCAAGTGCTTTCTGGTGGCCATGATGAGCCTAGAGGACAATAAGCATGCGCTTTACCAGCTGCTCGCGCACCCCAAGTATGTGGTCTTGTCATTCTCTGAGACTGGGCATGCCCTCCTGCAGGAATTAGGGGTGGAATGGACCTCCTAGGCTTCTCAGTGTAAGGCGCGTGCTCCTTCACATCAGGGAGACCATGTACTCTACCTACCTTTGGTCTCTAGAGGAAATGGAAAGGAGGACGTAGGTGTTGAGAATAAGATTTCACCTCACTGTACTTGTTGCTTCCATGAAGTTGTAAGCTTCAAGGAATCAAGGGTCATGTTCCTTTTGCCTTCTTTTTTATTTATAGCTCCTGCCATATGCAAAACATTTGTTAGACATTCTACTTTTCCAGTTTACAGAGATCTTTCTCCAAATACTTGTTTCAATGTTTGTGTTTGTTCTTGTTACTGTCGGCTATGTATAACCTATATATGGATATAAAATGATCTCTTGAGATTAGGTATATACATGTTGTCTTTCTGTGTTGTAAGTTTTAGGGACAGATTTTTCCCATATATCTTCCCATTTCTTGAAGGCCTCCGAAACAGTGCTAAGCTTATAGAAGATACTCAGTTGTTAAAAGGGCATTGAAAGAGAACAGGCAGAAGTAAGTGCACAAGGGAATACGGCAGTATGACAGCCAGCAAAGGCAGCTGAAAGCAGAAATACCCCTGTGCAAACTTCAGAGATTAGAATCAGCAGAGCTAGGTTGTAATTTTGCTTAAGGTGTTTATAAAAGGCAAACTCGAAAATACCTCCAGGTAAACCTGTAGAAGTTGCCCAAGTTAAGAGACAGAAGGAGGCAGGCAAACAGAGACTCTTTAGATAAGAAGTAAAATACCCAGAATGCATGTGGAGAGAGGAAAATTCTGAAGAGAAAAAGATACACACAGAATGGAGTGAGGTAGCATAGTTCGGTTGATGTCCCACAAGATGTGAGAGATATAATGGCTAAGAACTTTCCAGAACTGATGAAAAATTAAACAACCGTATATGGATTCAGGATCTTGAGGGACTTCAAAGCAGAATAAATAAAAAGAAATCTGCACATATGTGCATTATAGTGAAACAGCTGAGAGTCAGAGATGGAAAATCTTACAAACTGGAAGAATGCAGTGGTGATCTTGAAGTGCATGCCGGCTTGGCAGCTTTGAAAGCCACTGGACAGCGGAACACATCTCAGACTGGAAGAGAGCGTCTGCCAACCTAGAGGCATGGATCTGGTGGAAATACGACCCATGAACGAGGATGAAATAAAGATATTTTCAGATTAAATCTGATCTTTGCCCAGCAGATCTGCAGTAAAGGCCATTCTAAAGAGTGAGTTTCGTTCGGACCAAAGGAACATTCCCCTTTGTATGACCCAAAATGGGAGAAGAAATGAAAAGCAAAATGACAACATGAGGTCAAATGTAAATGGGGTATTATCAGAGTAGCAGAGGGGCTTTTATAGTCTTAAAAATCATAATAGACTAGAAGTAATGTACTTATTATCTGGTAAACAAACAAAATATGGTTAACGTGGTTGATGTGTGACACAATAGAAAATACTACCCAGCAGTAAGAAGTGAACTGTTGAGGAATGCAACAATAGACACGGTGCTCAGTGAAGGAGGTCAAACGCAAGACCATATATTGGAGGATTCCACTTATATAAACCTTTTAGAAAAGCCAAAAAGAAGTCCAAGAACAGATCAGTGTTGCTTGGGAGCGGAAATAGAGATTGATGGGGTGATGGTTTAGAATTGAATCCTGGGGTGTTCACAGCCGCCACTGTGCTATAGTCGCTCTCTAATGCCAGCACCTCCCGTTGCTCGCCAAGCTGCAGCCAAAGGAGATCCCTGTGCCATGGCCTGTGTCAAGCAGACTGCCTGTAAATGTACTGCTGGTATGGCGCCCAGGAAACACCTGACTACAAGAGCCACTCATGTGTGCCCTCTACTGGAAGGGTGAAGAAACCTCATTGTTACAGGCCTGGGACTGTGGTACTACGTGAAATCGAACATTATCAGAAGTCCACCGAACTTCTGATTCTCAAACTTCCTTCCCAGAATCTGGTTCGAGAAATTGCTCTGGACTTCAGATAAGATCTGTGCTTCCAGAGCACAGTTATTGGTGCTTTGTAGGAGGCAAGTGAGGCCTACCTGCTTGGCCTGTTTGAAGAGCCAACTTGTGTGCCATCCATGCCAAATGTGTAACAAGTATGCCGGAAGATATCCAGCTAGCGTGCTGCGTATGTGGACAGTGTGCATAAGAGTCCAGTATGGTGGGAAACATTTCATTCTCAAACATTTTTTTCCTCCTCGTTATTGGTGGCTTTGAATGTTAGATTTTTTTTTGTGGGGTGCAGAGGTCCCTAAGTACATGATTATGAGCGGAAAATCAGGGGCAGAAATCAGGTATTGGCAGTTTTTCTATTTCATTTGTGAATTTTTTTTTTTTTTTTTTGGCAGAAATCAGGTATTGGCAGTTTTTCTATTTCATTTGTGAATTTTTTTTTTTTTTTTTTTTTTTTTTTTTT